TTTATGTTGTGTTTATTAATTCATACCTATTCTATTGAACTAAAAATATGCATTTATATGCAAAATAATTAAGCAAATAATACAAACAGATATACAAAGTAATACAAAAACCTGATATTAATACGTAGGTACCTACCTACATAATAAAAAATACTACATGTTAAGAAAAGTTTGATAAAATTATTAATAATAATATTATTTAATATTCAATTATTTTAAATTTTCAACTACAAAAATTTTGGGAAACAGTTGACAACTATCTGTTGTCATATTTGTACAACGGTCGGTTAAAATGTTTTTATATATTGTGCCAATTTATATTATTTACTCCACTGCAACAAAAAATATCGAACATCTACAAAAATTAATCGATATATTCTCTAATATTCTTTATTACAAGAAATATTCTTTTATCTTGAAATATTCCCAAATATGCAAAAAAAACTTTTGCCATTAACTCACATGTTTTATGATTTGTAAAGATTTCGAACCCCCGTCTGACTGCATAGACTAAAAAAAAATATGCAAAACAATATAATTCCGGCCCCTAGTAATAAGTTAATCTAGGTATCAAATTTTAGTCAATGTATGAAAATAAGCTTGACCCAGTGTTTGATATGCGATTGAAATCTGAAACAGCAGTGACATAACTGAATGTCGTTCAAGTTATTCTGTAATTAAATGTCTATACAACTATAATATAATAAGTTGTACCGAACCAGTATAATATAGTAAAGTAAGTACAGATACAATGTATATAAGATGACGTGTCTAAGAGCACAGTGAATAATTAAGCACCCATGTACTCTTTGATAATTACATACTATGGAATAAACGTAAACAAATGAAATTGCAGAAACTGCAGACATTTTAGTCGAATGATATTTTAAAGAAACACTATATTAAGTATAATTCCCATATTGTAAATGTTATGAAAATTGATCAAACTTGAAATAATAAAGATATGTGATCCACATGGTGACGTACGTCACACCAGCCCCCCCATTTTCAAAATATTGAAATTTTATTTTTCTATCTTTTAGTATGCTTTTTGTACGAATTTGTATGAACAAAATGGCTCAGATATATCAAAAACCCGTCGGGGGGTTGGCGAGACGTCACGCCAGCCCCCGAAATGGATTATTTAAAATTTTTTTTGTACCAATACATTGCCCTCTATTCGTACGTATTTGTACGCGCAATATAAACATTCGTACGTTCTTCGTTCAGGGGGGATATCGAAAAACCCGTCGGGGGGGGGGGTGGTGGCGAGACGTGGGTTATTTAAAATTTCAAATGCATACAATAAAAGCTCTAAAATTAAAATTGTTTGAACATACAAAGCGTATTTTTGAGACATTTGTAATTTCACAAGTGGATTTATTTGAACATTATGTACGTGGGTATAAATTAGCTTATATATTATTCCAGGAGTACATATAACTTTATTGTTTCATTTAAAAAAACTGTCACGGTCACCAATACAATCTGTACATATGTATTGTAATATATTAATCTATAGGTATTTGAAAAAATGTTTGATTATACTTAGATACCGACATTTAAAAAAATTAATTAATTACGTAATATTATATTATTCTCCTATTTACCATCTACTCTTATTATGGTCAATGTGTATCCATTAGACGAGAGGATGGATAATTTCTGATCAAAATGCTGTACTATTTATTATTTCCAATACTTTAATGAATTTTTTATTTAGTTAATTTATCTTTAGATTCAAACAAATTGGTGTGGTCATTATCTTATAGGTATTGGCTAGGCACTATCTCCGTGAACTAACATTTTATTAGTATTATTATTGTAAAATATTTTGAAATAAACTTTTAATTTACCTTTAGGCTTCCATTATTTAATATTATTTGCTATAGTAATTAAGACAATTTATTATAAGTATGCTGTATGACTGTATGAGTTTGAAAATTATTTTTTATTTTTATAATATATAATAGATTACCTATTATTATTGCTAATGACTGTTACACACGCGCTATCGTATTTTTGAGACTTTTATAATATTTAACTCGTATATTTATTTTAACATATTATAAGTGAGTAGTTTTTAAAATAGTCCAGTACCAGGACTACAGATAACGTTTTTGTTTCTACGCCCAAAATTCAAAGACCTTACGTTGTGTTTAATTACGACATTTTAAAATATATTAGGTATACACAAATGTTTTTGTATAATTTTGTTAAACACAGCTTCAAAATGCATTGCACATGTTTACTAGATTATTCCCATAGTCTTAACCCCAATATTTTGGTTTTTGATCTCGCCGCACTGAAAGGTGCATTATTATCGTAAATATAATAAATTTCATAATAAAATTGTATCATGCATAGGTATAATACATAATTTGCACATGTGCCTATAATGGTTGGACTATACCTAGTTTTTAATGTTTTTATGTATTTAAATAAATTAAATTCACATACAACCCAAATAAATAAATTGTTTTGTTTAATGTTTATACATTGTGAATTTTTAAGAATGTTCACTTTTTTATGCTTATAAATAAAGCATATTATATCTAAACCAAAACTCGAAAGAGTAGTTTTTCAGTTAAAATATAAGTACACGTTATACTGTTTTTTTTTTTTAAATTTTATTTTTATGGATTATTATCCTTGCCCCTTGTTATAAACATATTTACATATTAGTTATTACTATAATAACTAATAACTCAGAAATTAGGCACCTAGGTACTCAATAAGTAGTATGGTTTTGTTCCTTCTGAGCACCTTTTTTACAGGGAGATTTCTTCAGTTCAATCGGGACATTTCTACATACTTCACCGTTCATTTCTGAACACTTGTTTTACAGAGAGATTTTTTACAGGGATATTTCAACAGTTTAAGTGGAAAAAGTTTTTTTTACAATACTATTGTCTCATTAGGAGGTTACCTACCTACAAACAAAACCATTTGACTTATAAATTAAAATTTACTTTGAGACTGAAGTTAGTTATTAATTTAACTAATTGCTCTAATATCTAATGTATACTATATGCTATACAATTGACCCAACTCATGAAATACACCTTTTACAGTGAGTTTATACATGTAGGACATAATTAGGTACCCCATATATGTGCAACATTGGCCATAAGATGTTAATAATGTCAATGTGACTTATAATATAAAATAGTTGATCCATATTTTACTAAAAAAAATTATTAAGTACGGATTTTTACAAAGATTTTTCCAAAATTCACCAGAATGTATAAAAAAAAAATATAAAAAGTGGGCCAGTGATATCCCATTTTACGGTAGGTACCTATGAGAAAGAAGTTGTCCGATAATTTTCATTCAAATTTTAAACACCTAATTGTGTTTTCTTCAATTCATAAAGATATGAATACATTTATGTTGACAGTTGAAGTTCATATATTCTATTGGCAATGCGTGCTGGTATAAAGTCAGTAAACGGAATAACATTATTATTGTTTTTTTTTTTTTTTTTATCATCCATACTAATATCAAATATGAGTACCAACCTATTAATTAAACTTATAAAGGTATATAAATACTTGCACATAAATACCATAGACTTTTTAAACATTTTTGTTATTTGCCTATATATGTATGATATAGGTATTGACCATTATAAGGTAACATATTTCAAAGTTTTGGTTTAAAATATTATAATCTGGATAGTTTCTTCACAATAGTTATATTGTTGAAGATGTTTTTCAAATGAATACATTAACCTACTATGGATCTTAAATGTTAAATTACTATACCTTTGTGATATTGATATATTTGTACACCATTGACTTTACCGGTATAAATGTATAATGAAATACTCTATTGTGATTTGTGAAGTTATATCATATTATGTTTGAATAATAATTATTGCTATTAGGTACTACTTTGTGGAAGCATGTAAAATTAACTTACAGATAACAAGTTGACTTATTTTTGTATAAGATATTTTTATGTTCAGTAATTTGAACACTATAAAATTAATTTTGTATCATGGTAAAAAAAAATCCTTTTATTGAATATTATTTTTAAGATAAAACAAAAATAACAAAATATAATATTTCAAATTGAATACATTAAATATTCACATGGGGCGACAGTTGAATTTTTTACAGGTTTTGTTTTTTTCCTTGTGTCATCAAATAGCTCCCAGTTGTTTGGTCCTCGTTTTCCATAAGCATTATAATGCCCTACAGAGTTTCTTAACCTACTTAATCCTTGTTGATAGCAAAATACACCTCTCAGTTCAAATGCTTTTTCATTTATGATAAGTACAGGTGGGATATTTGACAACTTTATTTTAGGATGAGATGCTGCTTCGGTGCTATGCTGGCTGCTATTTATTTCATCCTCCAATGAAATAAAATAGATTTTACTTATATAAATTAGGAAAAAACCATATTTTAAGCAATAAGATAAATACAAAATTAATACCTATCCAATTGAGGAGCTCAATAAATAAATGCATTTGTATTGTAGTTGTCACTGTTTTGTTACCAATGCACGGTGTACTGTTCTTTTCAGTATGACCACATATTGAAGTATTAGTTCTCATTCTACTATCTATATCCTGTTGTAGGTAACTCAAGTCCTCATTTGTAATTTGAATATTTATATAAGGTACAGATATAGGGGTTAATGTTGTTTTTTTACATATTAGATTTGTACACTCTATTATGTCTAAAGCCGATGGAAGATCATTGAATAATTGTTTAATTATATGTCCTATTGTGGTATCACAAACTGCTAAAGTAGTCTCATATTCTAAAAATTCCATATGTGGTTCAAATTCACTTATCTGAAATAAATATACAAACATTATAAACCATACAAAATATATACAATACAAATTGCATACAAAATTATGATATCTATTAGGTATGCAATCCATTTTTTTATTACAGTGAATATTTCAATAATATTCATGTTAGTTCACAACAACATAAAAATGAAATATATAAATAAATTATTATGTAGATTCATACATAAATTTAAACAAAAAAATAAAATAAAATTTTAAAGTATGTATGTATTTCAATATAAATACCAACCATTATACTAGCTCTATCTGAATAAGTTGACGATGTAATACCTTGTCTTACAATTTTTGATATAAATGAAAAATATTCATTATTTTCCAAATAATTGTTTAATTCTTGACTGTATTTGATACTATCACAATAAGCAACCATAATAATGGAGGAAACCGTATCAAACACACAAGTGTTGCTCATAATTATTTTCCCAATGCTTTGGACAGCACGACTTTTTAGTTCCTCTGCTCTAGATCCATTTTTTAATAATGGCAATGATAATATATTTTTCGATTTATTTATGTCCAAATGCTTTAAATGAGGATTAGGAACAAGGTATGATTTTGTAGTCCTTTGTTTTTTAGATCTACGTTTCCAACTTTCTACTGCTGTGTCTTCTTCATTTAAATTGTCACTTTGAATATTACTAACATTATCTATTTGTGGTACTAAGTCTTCTCTTTCACTTTGATCATTGATAATATCTGCGTTTTGGACTTCATTTTCAGTTTGATGGCTGTTATTATTTGCATGTAATTGAAGGCTGTCTAAAAATACATTTTGATGTGAAGACCGTAAAAGAGATGTACCACGCAGTGAAATTATGTGTCTTTCTAAAAACGTCTCAATATTTGTAGGAACAGATGGAAATGACCCCCCGACGGGTTTTTGATATATCTGAGCCATTTTGTTCATACAAATTCTGTAACAATGCTTACAAATTCGTACAAAAAGCATACTAAAAGATAGAAAAATAAAATTTCAATATTTTGAAAATGGGGGGGCTGGTGTGACGTACGTCCATTAGTCACAAACAAGGTTTTTATACAATAATACAAGTAACAATAATGATTAATAATTTTTTTACACAAGACCGAAAAGTTTTGTTTGTTTCAGAAATTCGATTATATCCAGGTTGTTTTCTTGGTTGGGTCCGAGTGCAGAATCGAGGTTGTGAGATATGTGCCCGTTCTTGGTTGAACTTTAGACAGTCGGCAATTAGGTGTTTGAGTGTTTGACTGTTAACAAGGTTCCGCAGGTTTGACAGGAGGGGGGTTCCTCTTTAGCCATCAGAAAGCCGTGAGTAATTCTGGTGTGACCCAGTGACCCGTACGGAGTCTATTGAGTACCGTATCTTCTTTACGGTTGAGGTTAGGATTAGACCAACGGTATATGTCTCTTTTTATTTCATTTAATTTTATGTTTTGTATGTTCCAGATTTTTTGCCATTTATATTTTGTACGTTCATTTATGAGTTTTTTCGCGTCGTCGTATGACATTTTCTTAATTAAGACGGTTTCTTTGTTGTTGATGGCGATTGAGGCGTGTTCATCGGCTATTTCATTGCCTATTATGCCCGAGTGTCCAGGTATCCACATGATGACGATATTTTTACCCAGACAGGAAGCTAGGCTGAGGTTGTTCAGAATTTTGGATGCAATATCACCGGGATTGAAATGGTTCTGCAAACTTCTTATAGTGCTCAATGAATCGCTGAGAATGATGAATTTCGAGTGAGCTTCTTGTAATATAGTCTCAATAGCCATAAGCATGGCTATAGCTTCGGCTGTGAATATGGAGCACTCCGGAGGTAGTTTGTGTATAATTATTTTATTTGGGAATATAATCGAGAATCCTACACGGTATAAAATCCTGTATTTAAATTTTAAATATATAATATACAATTTAAACTTTATTACTCAACCATTGTCCATTTCCATTTGAAAATTGAGTCTTATTAATACAAATAAAATAATAATATAAATTAATAATAATATAAATTAAATTCAAAATAATAACAAAGTCAACAAGTAAAGTAATAATTAACAATTTTAATAAACATAAATAACTTTTTTGGTTTTTTTCTCTAAATAATAACTAAAATAAATGTTTAATGTAAAAAAAGTAACAATAGTAAATAGTAATACTTTATAGGTTATAGTAACAATTTTAGCACTAAAGTCTTTTAGTTTCCTGTTTAGTATATAAAAAAAAAATAAATAGAAAATAAAATAAAACATTTTTTTTTTTTTGTAAATATAAAATAATAGATTTTTAATAATTGTCTTCAGAATCAGATAGACATAAATTAAACATAATTTAAACAAAAAGTGCATTCAAAGTATTCTGATTTACCTTTTTTTGTCAGTGATTTCTTAAAATATTTAGTAACAGCTTCTTTATATTTATTAGGCCGTCCCATTTTAACTTTTACTTCACACTTGTTACTTGTTAGTACTTAGTAGTCTTGAGTTAAGAGTTATTAACAGTACAATGTAGATACAAGTTTGTAGTTAACGGTTGTTACAAAAAAAAAAAAAAGATAAGGAAAACCTCTTATTTTAACCACTTAGCGAAAAAAAAAGTTTTATACAGATTTTATACCATTGTATAAAATAATTCTATACAGCGTGTATAATACCAGTATAATACAATTTTATACATTTGTATTATACAAATTTACATCACTAGGCGGCCGTCAACAGCTGACCATTGTTTACGTCGGCGTAAATTATTTTATAATAGTCGTTCAATACCCGCGTATTCGCGCATGTACGTACCCATCACACACCACCGATCTTGGAAGACACTGACGCTAGCGATTGGTATAGGCCACCGTCGGGGGACAACATTGCTAGCTTTAGGGCTATGTAAATATCCACGGACGGCCAGCCGGTACACAACAGTCCAAGCTCCAGTCGACCACAAATCAGGCATTGACCGCGCACGTATAGAACGACAAACTTTTCAAAGCCGCCTCGAAATCAAAAAAATAAAAATAAAAAAAAATATCGACGTAATCGTTACACCAATCGACCGAAACGAAAACGTTCGAGTCACGTTGGCTGGCGCTGTAAGCTAGCATGGCGCAGTTCCAGTGCCGGCCCTAGGGGGGGGGGGGCAAGCGGTGCGACCGCACCGGGCCCCGCGCATGGCACATGGTGAGCTTGTGCGGGCTTGTTACGAATATCATATCACTTTATCTATAAATAAACATAATAATATTGTCCCCGTAGCAGTAATACGGATATCGCGACCCTTGTTGTTTTCTTAGGAAACTGTTTGTTATCGACAAATACCAATTAGAATAAGTATGTGTACTATGTCTATATTTTAATATCTTACCTTGATTGAGGGGTGGAAATCCAAAACGTACTATTGCCAAAATTGGTAAAAACGAGTTAGATACCGATTCTTATAAAAAAAACGCCGACAAATCGATTGGTGTTGTCAGAATAGACCAAAACGTACTATTTCCAGGTCAAATCAGCTGTAAAAAATGACTGCTTAATCAAAAACGAACCTTTTCCGTGCATAAAAATTATAGATAGATAATCAAAACGTACTTTTTCCAGTTTTACGACAAAACATACTATTGCCAATGTTGAAATAATAGGCACCAATCATTAACTATACCAAAACGAACTATTTTCGTAAATTATTCCAAAACGTACTTTTTTTTTATGTTATGTCAAAACCTACTACTGCCCGTATTGTAGGTATAGCGAAATAAAATAGTTAATCCAAAACGTACTAAAATATAATTTATAATTTATAATATTCACAATCATTAAGTTTGAAATTAAATTAAAAATATAATCCTAGATTATTAAACACATTTGAGTCGTTTTTAATAGAAATAATATATTATTAAATAATTTAAAAAATCTTCCTTGTCTTCAAAATTACTTTTTTATTTATAAACGGTTTGTTCATATTGAAACAATAAATAAGAAATTAATAATATTTTTATTTTGGAAAAAGCACATTTTGGAGTATATTTTAATATTTTATTAGGTTTTCCAAAATGAACTATTTCCATTAAATATTCCAAAATGTACTATTTCCATTAAATTAATGGAAAAGGTATACGTTTTGGATTATTTTACATTTTTATATGACAAAAAATATGTAGATGTAGAATCATTAAAGTCATTCTATCTAAATTTTAAAAACAATACTGATAGGTAATATTATTTTCACAGGCAATTTAAAAAAGTCCCTAAAAAATAAAATAAATGTGTATATTGTATAATAATTAATAAATTAACATATACAGCCATTGGCCAATGGCCATATGGGGCCCCGCGAAATTCTGCACCGGGCCCCGAAAACCATCGGGCCGGCACTGCGCAGTTCTTCACGGAACAGCCAACAGCGTGCAGCAGCCACACAATTTTGAGATCCCGTGGCCTATCAACCACCCGTCACCCGTACACGTTACCACTCGCACACACGATGGTTACCAGTCGGCTTGGTCGTTCGAGTAGGTACAACGCAGTCAGCGCCCAGCCGGGTGTCAGTTACATTGCCACCGTAAATGAACGACCAAGTACCCGTCATACGCAGCATGCGCGCAGGTACGATCGGTGTTAATACCGAGTTCTACGCGGAACAAGGGCTGTTTACGCAATTCGTCGCAAAATCGTGCCGCTATCAGTGTTGGCGACTCTACCCGTAGACCGCCGACTAAGCTTGCGTATTCCCCTTCCCACCCGACGTGGTATCGACCTGGCTGGCTATTTTGCATGTTGTGCCGGCGCGCCGGTGTGTCTACAACCAGTTGCCCGGTCTCTCTCGTCATCGGACGTCGCTGCCTTTGACGTCCGTGGGGACCTTGTGGGTATTGACCGTTGTTCCGACCGTTTTATTGTGCTGGTCTACATTTAAGTACCGTGTCGTATTATACTCGTGTGTTATAATCGTCAATCGCCATCAAACCGTGCATATCGAATATTGTTGTGTCGCGCGCGTCGAAGGTACGTACTCACATTGTTGTGGCGTACACGTTACGTAAGGTCGCGAAACTCAGCCGCCGCCGATCTAATTGAGTGCTAGGTGCAGTGCGTTATACAGTGAGCCGTCGCCGCCGCCACCGCCAATCCCATCCTCAATCGAAGGTCGTGGCAACACAGCCGCCGTCGGTCTATCTTTATACCAGTATATGGGTCAACGCCGTCGCCCGTCGTCCACCACCTACTCCGACTATCTCTACCGCCCGACAACACCATCGCCGCCGCCACCGTAGTAGATAAGTCATATCACTGTTGTTATATATTATATTATATTTACTGTTTGTATTTGGTAGCTGGACTTAGAGACGTCTAGTCAGCTACTATTGTAATGTCAGCCGTTCTTAGGCCTGTCAAATAATATAAATATTACATTTAAAATTGTTGTACCTCTTTATTACGTTGGTATAATAATTACAATTGTCATACGCTATACCAAGAGTCCTGACAATGCGAGTACGTCGTGTCAACTGCGACACGAAAGAACACGGCGTGCACCCGGTCCGGTTTTTAGCCAACACCGAGTCGTTACTCACGAAGCGCGTAGACACTAAAACGTCCACACAATCTCTTACGGAATTTGTGCTGATTTAAAACCAGCTCGCGCCCCGCACGTTAATACTGGCCCATCCGAATCGGAGTAGGTAGGTGTTATCGTCCGGCGAACGCGCGACACTTTCCGTAGGTACACATATCCGGCTACATATAACATTTACGTTCAGCGTGCTTCGACGCATAGCAGGCGTTTTGACTTCGTGTCGGATAATATCTCCACCCACCTCTCGTCATCCAACATCACATATTTTCGGTAGCACGGACGGAGAAAAATTATGCCATCATCACGCACGTAGTTCGGTAATTCGTAGCGACGAAAAACCAACTACGAATTTTTCCGTCACCACACCACCTATCGGCACCCACTCTTAAATCCCAAACCTACACCACCCCACCATCCACCACACTCACCTCACCGGTGACACGTGTGGTCAACATCAACGGCTTATGGGGCAGCCGCAGGTGTGGGGACAAAGGTAACAGAGCCACGGGTGTTCACCTGCAAAGGTGACGGGGGCGCAAGCACACCAACTTCGCACACCCCCGCATTATAGGTCATTCTGTATACATAAGGCATCAAGCGAGCACAGAGACAGCCGACAGGGACTGTTTGGTCATGGCGGTCAACACCGACCACCAATCAGTCTCTGTCGCGGTTCAGAACCAGTTGCCCCGCTCGACCGATTGCAATACGTCTAATAACGTCACACGAACACGCCCGGACGAAATTTCGACTCACCGATGTCGAACACGAATTTCCGTCAGGCTTCGTAACGGCGCTATTAGATCCACAGACCCAAATCGTACGTAAACCCGACCATAGCCACGGCAAACCCCTCCACGGACCAACAAACACAGTCCGGATGGCAGACGGACACATGCAACAAACAGGGCAGTATAACATGGTCACATGGATAACCAACGCCACGTCGCAGCCATACCAACGACAACGAGGCACCAAAGCACGAGGCCAACAACCAACACCACCTACCAGAGAGGGACTAGGAGGGTGTCAGCAAGGCAAGCTTACTTCAAGTCACATGGCAAGGGGTACCGCGAGCTGAACCACTTATCCACCGACAACAGTACGCTGTGGGGCTGTAGTCAATTTGCACAAAAATTGACCCAAAATATATACAACATGTGTAATTTGAACCATTTTTTTAAAATGTGTTTGTAATTTGCATAAAAATAAGGATATGTAATTTGCACCATCCTCAGGTAGTAAGAAATAGGAATTGTAAGTTGCACCAAAATTAAAATTGATTATTTTTTCGATACTATCTTGATAGTACCAACTTATAAGTTTCTATATCCTAATATAAATTTAGCCTAGTTTTTATTTAAAAAATGGCTGAACTTAAACACATCTTGTTGTAAGCTTATATAAAATAGTATTACTATGTATATAAAAAAAAGTTAGCTTTTTTTAATTTCACATATAATTATTTTAATTGGCTAAATTTTTTTTATATTTTTAATAATATGATTTTATATAAGCTTACAACAATTGGTGTATAAGCTCATGCTATTTTATAAATGAAAACTAAGCTAAATTTATATTAGGATATAGAAACATGTAAGTTTAATATTTTGATATAATTATTTTTTTCAGACTAACAGTGAGAGATGAGATGTTTTTCAAGTTTAAAATGAGTCATAACAGATTTGAAAGAAAATTAGCTTATATGAGCCGTGATATTATAAAAGAGTTTGAAGAAATAAGAAGAATAAGGACGAGTCCTTCTTCCAAAGAACAATCAAGTGATTTTAGTTCAAATGAAACAAGCATGAGTCAGGATCTGGATAACGTTGACAATTTAAGTGAACATCTTTCAATTGATACTTTCATAGCTGTTTCCGAGTTCGAGATAATTGCATTGAAAACGAAATTGCACGAAAAAAACATTTATATGAATAAATCCATCACGGATATGATAAGCAAATATGCAAACTTTGTAGAAGTAGAACTCAAATCATTTTTGGAGTTGTTAGTGCCAATGTTCTTTAATATGCGTGAAATTGTAAGTACCTACTCTGAAATATTGAGTGAAAACATTAGGTTGGCAGTGAATAATCCAATAAAAGTAATACCAAAGGAGTTCATTAATCATTTTGGAGATAGGTGAGTCCTTATAATTAAATCCAATTTTATTTAAATATAATATAACATAGCTAGTTCATACAATAATAATAATATTAATATTAACATAGGTATTATACAAAATTGTAGGTACTGAAGTACATTTGTATATAGGTACAATAAATAAATAAAAATGCACAACATGTATTTATACGTTTTTCATTGTTTGTTTTTATCAAAAATAATATGAGAATAATGTTACCTGATAAAAAAAAAATAGTTATTTAAGAATCGTATGGTTTTTAGATTTTCAATAAATGATGCCGCAGTTAAAATGTCTGATAAACACATGGAAATGATCTACAAGCGAGAAGAAAGACTTAGTTCTGATGCAAAAAAATGGGCTGAACAATCAATTGAAGATTTGAGAAATTCTGAAAAGCAAAGATTTTGGATGGTATTTGAAGAAATAACGAAATATTGCGATAATGTAACGATTTGGCTTGAATCTTTAAAAAATTTATAATATCTTGGACAAATTGTATAACTAGGTAATAATATGCAGTGCCTGGATATTATATTTTCAGTATAATTTACATGTATAATTGTTTGAAAATCGTAAAAAAAATTTAGATTAACAATATTAAAAAAATATTAAAACTGATTAATAATTGGTTTAACAATAGTTTAATTTCAAGTTTTGTCTAGCGACTATCAAGTACAATACCTCAATTATACAATTACACTGTATAGGTAACTTTTTTAGAAATAGGAATTGTAATTTGCACCAAAATTAAAATCGATTATTTTTTCGATAGAATCTTGATAGTACAACTTACATGTTTCTATATCCTAATATAAATTTAGCTTAGTTTTCATTTATAAAATAGCATGAGCTTATACACCAATTGTTGTAAGCTTATATAAAATCATATTATTAAAAATATAAAAAAAATTTAGCCAATTAAAATAATTATATGTGAAATTAAAAAAAGCTAACTTTTTTTTATATACATAGTAATACTATTTTATATAAGCTTACAACAAGATGTGTTTAAGTTCAGCCATTTTTTAAATAAAAACTAGGCTAAATTTATATTAGGATATAGAAACTTATAAGTTGGTACTATCAAGATAGTATCGAAAAAATAATCAATTTTAATTTTGGTGCAACTTACAATTCCTATTTCTTACTACCTGAGGGTGGTGCAAATTACATAGGTACCCTTATTTTGGTGCAAATTACAAACACTACTTTCGACTACCTCCAGTGGTGCAAATTACATATCTTTAATTTGGTGCAAATTACAAACTCCCGTCTGCAGTACGAGTTGCAGCACTATATTAGTATCTTATAATCGATGTTTATAATCGAGTTATATATTTTAGCATTACTACTGGCCGAAAATTGAGATCATAGTTGAGTATAATATTGTTGTTTCTTTGTGTCTTGCGTGCATGTTGTTATTAATTGTCATTTGTCATTGTATGCACTGCAGATTTTATTTTATACTTGACGTTACCTATAACTGTTGCGGCGGCAGAGCGATCGTTCTCAAAACGAAAAATAATAAAAAATTATTTACGAAGTACGAGAGGAACGGGAGGTCGCAAGGCTGGATTAAGGGGGTTTAGTAAGTTTCCACACGAAACATAGCAGGTAAGAGGGGACATAATATGTAAGTTCCCACACAAAAATTTATTCAGACTTAGGACTGAAAACTTAAACGTATTTGGTCCAAATATATAATAAAAATTAATGATATAATGTGTAGGTCCACATATTATTTGTACTTTCTCAAGCATTTATAGTAAGATTTGTATCAGAACTAGCACTAGACCAAATACTTGGGGGGGGAACTATATCAATAACAAAATATCAGATTATAACTTAAAAATAATTACACAGTACGACCATGTGAAGCATTTGAGCTTTCGCAATAAGCCAAATTAAATTAAATTTTTTCTATTACTATTATTATAATTATTATAACTATAATTATTTTATACTTATACAAATAATATATGGACCATACCTACACGTTATATTATTCATTTTTATTATATATTTGGACTAGATTCAATTAAAACACCCATTACCTAGCACATTTAGGTTCATTGGAATGAATTTATAAATTCATTTATAAAATAATA